GCATTCATCATCACAAAGGATGTTTCAAGATCTGTCCTGAAGTAAAATGTTGTCAGTGATAGGATAATATCCATACGCCTACCAGGAAAACCCATTAATATTATTATTATTCAAATTTATGCACCAATCACCAAAGCCAAAGATGAGGAAATTGAAGATTTCTGCAGTCTGAAATTGACCAAACTTGCAATCAGGATGTGTTAATTATCACTGGCGACTGGAATGCAAAAGTTGGAAATAAAGAAGAATCACCAGTAGTTGGAAAATTTGGCCTTGGTGACAGAAATAACACTGGAACTCGCATGATAGAATTTTGCAAGACCAACAACTTGTTCATTGCAAGCACCTTTTTTCAACAACACCATCGGAGGCTGTACACGTGGACTTCACCAGATGGAAGACACAGGAATCAGATTGACTACATCAATGGCAAGAGGCAACAGAGAAGCTCAATATCTTCAGCCAAAACCAGGCCAGGAGCAGATTGTGGAACAAACCATCAACTGCTCATATGCAAGTTCAATTAAAGACAATTAAAACAAGTCCACAAGAGCCAAAATATGATCTAGACTATATCCCTCCTGAATTTAGAGACCATCTAAAGAATAGATTTGATGCATTGAACACCAACAACTGAAAACCAGATGAACTGTGGGATGACATCAAGAGCATCATCCATGAAGAAAGCAAGAGGTCACTAAAAAGACAACAAAAGAAGGAGAAGACCAAAATGGATGACAGAAGAGACTCTGGAACTTGCCCTTGAGTGGAGAGTAGCTAAAGCAAATGGAAGAAATGACAAGATAAAAGGATTGAACCAAAGATTTCAAAGAGCAGCTCAAGAAGACAAAGCCAATTATTATAATAAAATGTGCAAAGACCTGGAGTTAGAAAACCAAAAGGGAAGAACAAGCTCAGCATTTCTCAAGCAGAAAGAATTGAGGGAAAAATTTAAGCCTTGAGTTGCACTATTGTAAGATTCTAAGGGCAGAACATTAAATGATGCAGGGAACATCAAAAGAAGATGGAAGGAATATACAGAGTCACTGTACCAAAAAGAACTGGTCGATCTTCATCCATTTCAGGAGGTGACATATGATTTAGAACCAATGGTACCAAACGAGGAAGTTGAAGCTGCAATGAAGGAACTGGTGAAGAGCAAGGCTCCAGGAATTGAAGGAATACCCATTGAGATATTTCAACAAATGGATGCCGCACTGGAGGCACTCACTCTGTTGTGCCAAGAGATTTGGAAGACAGCTGCCTGGCCAACTGACTGGAAGAGATTCATATTTCTAACCATTCCAGAGAAAGGTGATCCCACAAAATGTGGAAATTATCAAACAATATCATTAATATCACACATGAGTAAGATCTTACTAAAAATAATTAAAAAATGGTTGCAGCAGTATATTGACAGAGAACTTCCAGAGGTGCAAGCTAGATTCAGAAGAGGATGTGGAACAAGGGATATCATAGCTGTTGTCAGATGGATCTTGGCTCAAGGCAAAGAAT